TCTTTGGATGCAATTAGTTGAATAAATATCAAGAGAGCAAAAGTAAACAAACTCATTATTGCCCATTAAGAACTGCCAAACTAGCAAAAATATGGGCGGGTTGTGGCGGGGAGGTCGGAATCTAAGGGAAATAAATGACGGCACGGGCAGGGTAGGGCTGACCTGAGTCCGGGGCTCGCTCAGCGCGGGCTCTTATCTGCGGTGTGCTCGTGAGCCAGCCACAGCCCGTCTGGGTCTCCATTGGTCAAACGGAGGGACTCCAGCCCGCTGGGTTACCTGGCATGTGTACTCCAGGCACCCGCCACAAGGTCTGTCCCTTCCCTTCCTTCCTGTTACTCAGCGGGCTCCACGTCAACGCGAAGGCCAGGCCCCACGGCGAGGTCACGGCGAGACCTGGAACCGACTGGCCCCGCAACCGGCACTGTGATCCCGAGCCAGTCAGCTGTCCCCTTTCCGAACTTCAGTTCCTCACCCTCAAGATGGGTATAATTCTAACTTCAGTGAGATAGTGTGCACACGAAGGGCCTCGAGGACACGCAGCCAGTGCGAGTGTTAGTTGTCAGGTGTGTTACTCTTAATGTAACGATGGCCAGAAATGCCCTTTAAAGACATCACGGTCCAGGAAGAGCTGTGTCTCCCCCTCCCACCCAGTGCCGGCACCAGGTGAGATGCTGAGGATACCAGAGCCAGGGCCCGGGCTAACCAGCGGGCTGCTTCCGGGCTGGCAGGCAGGCCAGGGCTTGGTCAGAGCAAGCTCTGGGACATGGATCAAGTTTCCTGTGAAGTGGGGACGGTGGTAAACCCCCATGGGTGACTGTGAGGACTCAGGGAGATGGTAAAAGTGCTTGACGCCCTGCCCGGCCCACACGCGGCACTTCGCAGTCAGGCCTGCTGCCAGCGTGCTGTTCTCCTGTTCTCGAATGGCTACCGTGTTATCCTAACCTGCAGTTCTGAGCACTCCATTTTGCTGACCTAGTGTGCAAGGTAGGTTGGATTACCTTGTTTCGCAGGAGATGCTCAAGTTCAATGGCAGGAGCTCTGCTGGGGCGTCAAGAGAGGCCACACTTGGGAGGGGACAGAACTCAGCGATAAACAGTGCAGTCCTCTTAAGTCTGGAAGCATGGAAAGGTTTGGAAACCAACCCTTTTCTGGAGCTAGGTTGTTTCCCTGGGCCTCTAGCAGTTTCTTGGCCCTGGCAACGGTCGGTGGAGGCCGGTGCTGCCCCAGCACAGAGAGGTGTTCGTCACCAGCTGGGGCAGGCTCACCTGTGGAAGGCAGAGCCTGGGCAGGCCCACCCTAGCCTGAAGGGCAGCTCCTCCTCTTTGTTCTGGGGTGGGCGTGGCCGCCAGCCCAGGAGGGCCAAAGCCTGTTGGAAACCAGCAAACACTTCCAAACTCAGCCTGGTTTCCACCTACGTCACTGCAGCCCTACTTCCTAGCAGAACTCAAACCAGAAGTTCTGGAACACCTTTCTCTGCCTGGCTGGGAAGGCCTGAGCTGGCCAGCGAACTAGGCTTGGGCTTTGTCATGTAGAGGGAAACAGCTCAGCATGGCCCTGACCTTAGGGTGTGTCTGTAACAGCCCCTGGCTGGCAAAAGCCAGAGCTCTGACCAGGGTGCTCACCAAAGTCACCAAAGGGGACAAGGGAGGGCAAAACTGGTCATTATTTTGGCACAGGTTAATAGAATACATTAACAGAAATGGCGGTGCTAATACTTTTTTAAAAAATCACTAGGGACCAGGAGATGGCATAATGGTTACATCGACTGCGGTTCGAGTCCCAGACCTGGTGGCTTAAAACTCATGCCAGGGGTGTGTGTGCACACCCAAAATCCAGAGAGATGACTGGAGAAGGGACTGCAGTGTGGTCATCCCCCCTGGGGGTGATTCCTCGCTTCTGTCTCTCTGCTCTCTAGCAAGTGTACATGCCCTATAGCAAAAATCTCTCTCTCTCAAAAAAAAAAAAAGTCCCTAAACACTAGGTCAAGCACATTTCTATGTAGTCAATTTAGAGTTTAAAGACTTGAGTCCATCAAACCAAACTGAGTCTTGGTTCTGTCACTTTCTGTCTCTCTGATCTTGGTCAAGTCACTTAGTGTCTATAAGTCTCAGTTCCTAAAATGGGAATAACAACAGTCTCTACTTTAAAAGGACATCGTGGGAGCCGGCAGATGGTATGGTGGTTAAGGCAATGGACTTTCACATGGCGACCATGGTTCAAGTCTCAGACCTGGCGGCTTGCTTTTTCATGTTCACTTTCTCTCTCTCTCTGGTCAAATTAAAAAATAATAATAACAGATACAATTAATAAATAATTCTTTTTTTAAAAAATAAAAGACATTGTGAAAATATAGGAAAGTAGAACACACCGGCAGCTTGTTGAGCACAGGGCCACGTGCGCAGTAGGCTCTCGGCAGCTGCACACCGTGACCGTTACTGAGGACCGTGACACGTGGCCCTCCTGCCTGCAGCTCCCACCGCTCAGGCAGGCACGTGTCTTGGCTCCCAGCCGCTTACGTCCCTCTGCACCACACTCCACTGCATGGCAACTGCTGGTGGCTGTGCCTTTGCATTCCATCAGCAAATACTCACTGAGCTCCTATGTATGCCAGACCGTGTTATGGGCACAGGAGGTGGGGCAGTGACAGCACAGATAACCCTCCTGCCCTCACAGGGCGCATATTCAAGACAGGAGTAGGGAGACAGTAGACAGGGCTCTTTGAAAAGTTCACGGAAATGCATAACCTTAAAGAAAACTACATGGATTTTGACATCATTTGCACAAAATAAACTCACGTTTTAGTTAATTTCTTTCCTTTCATGAACTTTTTGAAGTCCCTCACAGATCTGATGGTGATAAGGAGGGTTTCGAGTGAAAGGGCTACCTGATCTAACTTTTTAAAAAGAATCACTTGGACTGAAGCACCGGCAAGGGCAGGCCAGGGAGACCAGTCAGGAGACTACTGCAACAGTCCAGGCACAGGGTGAGGGTAGGCTGCCTGGGGTGGTGGTCGGGCAGGTGGGCAGAAGTGGTAGGATTCCAGGAATATTTCTGTGATATTGCTATCATAATTTGGTGGTGTACCAGCAGTAGGGCATGAAAGAAAGGAGGAGAGGATTACTTTACAGTTGTGGCCTGAGAAACTAGAGGAGAACTGCTGTTTGCTAATACAGGAAAAACTGGAATGGGAGGCTGGGATAGGAGTACGGGGGACATAGGATGTCTGGGTGAGTGAAGACCGAGATGCCTGTTGAGATCCTACTTGTTTGTTCCTGTCAAGCGGAAATGGTAAAGAGGCGGTGGATGTATGAGCCAGGAGTCAGGGTAGAGGTCCAGGCTGGAGGAAGACACGTGGGTGTGGTCAGTGCTTGCAGGTACCGAAGCCACAGGACTGGACCAGATTGCCAAGGGAAACTGAGCTCAGGGCCCCCACAGCAAAAGGACAGGATCGTGAGGAGGAGGAACCCACCAAGGAGGCTGAGGAGGAACAGCCAGTAGACAGGAGGAAAGGGTGGTGTCTGGAGAGGAAGATACCAAGGCAGTCATCAACTGTGTCCTGGTACCGAGAGGCGGAATAGTAACAGGCACCAGGCACTAGCCGTGCGATCTGGCAGATGAAGGCCACTGGAAACCCTGTTCAGAACACCCGGCGTAGGAGGGGAGGACGCCAGCGGGGATGTGCATGGGTGCAAGAGAAAATGGGAAGAGAGACACTTTCTGAAAATGGCACGTGGAGGCAACTCTTAAGAGGGCTCTGCAAAAAAGGGGAACAGAGAAATGGAACAGTAGCTACGAGAGGATGTGAGGTCAAGAGAGGGTCTTCTTTAAGTAGAGATAAATAACAGCATGACTGCAGGGAAAACGTGATGCAGGAGAGGCAGGGCGGCCTGCTGGCGCGGTGCCCCGCGTGGGCGCGGGGAGGCTCTGGTGCACATCCTCTCCTCCCTCTCGGCCTGCCGAACTCCGACTCATCCCTCCAGGGTCAGCGCAGAGGTCGCTTTCTCAGGGGAGCATTCCGGACTCTCTGATTCGGTCAGCCCCCGCACTATACCCTTATATAAAGCACGTGCTGCTTCTGCTTCGCAGCCCCACGGTGCGGAAGCCCCGTGAGGGCAGGCGCTGGCTCTGTCCCCTCTGCAGCTATGTCTCCTGCAGCCAGCACTCTGCCCGGCATGCTGGAGGTGTCCAGTGGACTTCCTGTGAAGGGATGAATGTCTAAGAATAGAACTGAAGCAAAGCTGGAGCCACGTGTCTGTGTCTGGCTCCCGTCTGATTTAATCACGTTGCAGTGATCGGGACCGTGCAGTCACCGGCTGCTGCAAATATTTGGATTTAGAAGAGCTCAGTTGTTTGTTCCTGTTTGGGCTCTGTAGCTTGGCTAACACAGGCCAGGGCCACGTGACCAGACACATCCATTATCGTCGTCTGCTACAAACCACATGCATTCCATAGCGTGTGGAGCAATTCATTCAGTTACCACGTCCCTGCCAACGGCCTGCTAGTGGAGCGTCCTAGGGGAGCAGGGCTGAATCGGCTCCGTACCTGGCCACATGAGGCAGAGTCCAGCAGTGGAGGTCAGGCAGAACTGCAACACACCACAGGGACAGGAACATTCGTGGGGCGCAAGTGTGGAATGAAGAGAATGAATGGTCTGAGGCATCTGAGGCAGGGGAGAAGGGAAACTGGACTCTCTCTGCCTCCCCCTCCCAGCTCCATGCTGCTCCAGTGTCTGCTGGGCCAGGAGCTCGGCAAGAGGGCTATGGGTGCTGGAGTTGACTCCGTAGTGCAGGGCCATGGCTCCTACCTCCCCACAACCTGGGCCCCTCCCTCTTCTTTTCCCTGCTGGAGCCTGTCTCCTGTTGCTTCTAGGATGGCCACCCTCTTCTCTGTCACCAGGAGAGTAGAACATGGCCTCTGGGAGCCGCACGCTGGGACAACTTTGCTGGGGAGAAGGCTGGGGTCACGGATGGCACTGTCACCGATTCTCTGTTTACTTTCAGGCTTTCATACATTCTGCTCACAAACAACAACCACCATTTTGCAAGGACCATGAGGTCCCTGTGCGTGACGTGCTGGTGGCTGGGACTGGTGGCTGCGATGGGAGCTGCTGCAGGCCAGGAAGATGGTTTTGAGGGCGCCGAGGAGGGCTCCCCGAGAGAGTTCATTTACCTAAACAGGTACAAGCGGGCGGGCGAGTCCCCGGACAAGTGCACCTACACCTTCATTGTGCCGCAGCAACGGGTCACGGGCGCCATCTGCGTCAACTCCAAGGAGCCCGAGGTGCTCCTGGAGAACCGAGTGCACAAGCAGGAGCTGGAGCTGCTCAACAACGAGCTGCTGAAGCAGAAGCGGCAGATCGAGACGCTGCAGCAGCTGGTGGAGGTGGACGGCGGCATCGTGAGTGAGGTGAAGCTGCTGCGCAAGGAGAGCCGCAACATGAACTCGCGCGTCACGCAGCTCTACATGCAGCTCCTGCACGAGATCATCCGCAAGCGCGACAACGCGCTGGAGCTGTCCCAGCTGGAGAACAGGATCCTCAACCAGACGGCCGACATGCTGCAGCTGGCCAGCAAGTACAAGGACCTGGAGTACAAGTACCAGCACCTGGCCACGCTGGCCCACAACCAGTCAGAGATCATTGCGCAGCTCGAGGAGCACTGCCAGAGGGTGCCCGCCGCCAGGCCCGTCCCCCAGCCGCCCCCTGCAGCCCCGCCTCGGGTCTACCAGTCGCCCACCTACAACCGCATCATCAACCAGATCTCCACCAACGAGATCCAGAGTGACCAGAACCTGAAGGTGCTGCCACCCCCTCTGCCCACCATGCCTACCCTCACCAGCCTCCCGTCCTCTACAGACAAGCCATCGGGTAAGTCCTTCCGGGACCCCGTTCCATGTGGGTTTCTGAGCCAGGTGCCAGGCTTCTCTTGGCTGTGACCACGCATGGGGAAAAGCCACAGCCAGTTGAACCTGAGCCAAAAGACTTGCATGATCCTCCAGCCATCCCATGGGCCAAGCCATGCCAGTGGGGCGAGCAGGGGACCACATTCCTTAAGTCAACGGTTGAAGGTGGATCCAGGAATCAGAGAGTCTCAGAAGAGACATTCTCTGGCGTTTGATAGGGAAGACCCCACTGCCTGTCGTTTCCAGGCTCTGCATGAGGTGCTCTGTGTTGGCAGCTATGCCATCTTCCCTGCAAGCTCGTGTGGCAGGCCTGGCATAGAGCTGGCATTCTGTAAATGCTCACAGGCCAAAGGAGAAGTGTTATCAGAATAATAGTAATAATAAATGCACGGTAGGGCTGGGGATGGGAAGGAGCACTTCCTAAAGCCCCCATGTTTCCTAGAGTCTGCTGCTGTCTGGAGTTTTGGATGACACCTCCATCTATCCTCAAATACAGGGTTCATCTTAAAATATGGTCCTTGTCAGAATACCATATGGAGGAGACATGGGTCATGCTGGCAGGTTTTGAAGCCTAACCAAGATCCTAGCACTGGGCATTCTTGTGTGTATCACATAATTAACCCCCACAGCTCCTTACAGACAGTTTGGGGAACTTCTTAGACTTTCAAATCAGGCTGCCTTTGAATTCGGGCCTTTTCACCTGACTCCTCCGTGCTCGAGGACTTGAACTCCTCACTCCTGGGAGGAGCAGGCATGAGCCCAGCCCCAGAGCTCAAGCCCTCGTGCATCCGGGACACTCTCTAGCCTTCAAAGGGGCTGCCACGTGGGAACGAGACTCATCTTGGCAAAATCTAAGCACATGTCTACTCTAAGTCAGCGCTTTTGGTGCCACTTTTTATAAGCAGGGAGATATTTTTACTGAAAACACCCAGTTTTACACTCATTTCACACATTGAAAAATAACTGCCAGTCCCGGGAAGAGCAGCTTCTTACTAACTCCAGAGAGGGGCTGAACCTGAGTGTGGAAGGGTGGCAGTGTGAAAGACAAGGGCAGAACGGCCCCAGCACCTCGAAGGAAAGAGCTGGCCTAGGTGGGGGCTCGGAACAGGTGTTCTGCAGCAGACTGACCAATACCAAATCCCGGTTCCTCGGCCGATTAGCTGGAACTTTAGCCAAGTCACCCTGTCCCTTGGAACCTCAGTCTCCTCATATGTCGACCGGGAATAGAGAGTGCCTCAGGTGGCATTAGGACGACTTATCCCCAGTGGGCATTTCTATGCAATGAAGGACTGGAGAAAGGTGTTAGCACAGCGCTGGGCCATGGTAAGCCGCGAGTCTCCTTTGATCTCGGGCTCTTCATCTTGAAGGAAGCAGATCGAAGTAAATAAACAATCCCTTTTTTAGCCCTGGCCTTCTACGGCTAATGACTGGTCCATCTGTAGACACGTCTGTTTTAAATCAGAGGCCCCGCAAGGGCAGGCGGAGTGTGTTACTGCTCCCTGACAGAATGCCCACGGGGTGAGAAGTGCCCTGGGGCACCGAACAAGGGTTCTGCTGAACGCCGCTCTAATCCTGGCTCGTGTGAGTCGGGCTGGTCCCAGTGGTTACCCAACAGCCCTCATCTTGCCCAATTATCTTTGGTTTCTAACTCAACAACTTCAGGATGTTCCTGAGCTTGAACCAAGCTAGCAGACACATAGTGTAAGAATCAGGGCCGGGTGTGCATCCAGGCTCCACCTCTTGTTAGCTGTTTGCTCACGAAGAAGTGCCTTAACTCCTCTGAGCCTCGGTGGTCTCCTCTGTCAAATGGGGACAAGCCAGAACCTCACTGGGTTTGCTGTGCAAAGTCAGGGTAGCCGAGCACGTAATATTGCCACGCAGTGCAGCCAACGTCAGGTGAGCCCCTATCTGTGCTGGTCATAGCACTGGACTTGGGGGAGCAGGTGAAAACTGTGGGGTCCCCTCTCTAGGAACTCAGTGTGGGAAGGTGGCAGGTGCATGGATCCACCTAGGATCCATCCAATACCCATGGCCCTCCCTCCCCCTAGTCAGCGCAGCAAGTCTGACAAAGATTTTTTCTGGGAGGCAGAATCTGTCAATGCTGAAAGTTCCAGAACACTGTGAGAATTTATGGGGCCATCCCGACACAGTACCCGAATGCAGTGAAAACTGGGCTGTCTGTCACTGTGGTGATACCCCATACACTAAGTGTCCCTCAGAGGGGAGGATGAGGGGCTGGGGGACACTGAGGTGTCCTAAGTCTGCCTGGAGGGAAGGGAAGGGTGGACAGAGGTGGGGACTTCTGTGTGATATCTTTTTGTTTTTGTTTTCTTTTTTTTTTTTTAGAGAGACAGACTTTTTTGCTATAGGATGCCTGTGCTCAGGGAGAGACAGAAAGACAGAAAGCAAGAAATCACCCCCCTGGGGAATGGCCACACTGTAACCCCTTCTCTTCCATTCTCCTCTCAGGATTTTGGGCACACACACACATGTACCTGGTGTGAATTTTAAGCTGCTTGGTCCAGGACTCGAACCAAAGTTGGCTAGGTGGGAGTCCACCAATATTACCATTATGCCATCTGCTGGTCCCAACATCTCGAAGGATTGTAAGGGTTTACCAGGTAGAACTGGGAAGTAGGACTCCCCAATTAAGATGAATCTGTGCAAAGATTCAGGGCACTCTTGGCATTGCCAATGGTCCTGAACCCCAACTTGGAGGAGCCTAAGGCTGTTTGTTTCCAAGGCTCCTACAGGCACCTCAAATTCTCCCTCCCACTCGAGGAAGCTCACCAGCAGAGGCGGGAACAGAGAGCTTGAATGTGCCATAGCTTACACACTTATTAACGCAACATAGCTTACACACTTATTAACACAGCATAGCTTACACACTTATTAACGCAGCATAGCTTACACACCTATTAACGCAGCATAGCTTACACACCTATTAACGCAGCATAGCTTACACACTTATTAACGCAGCATAGCTTACACACTTATTAACGCAGCATAGCTTACACACCTATTAACGCACCATAGCTTACACACCTATTAACGCAGCATAGCTTACACACTTATTAATGTACCATAGCTTACACTTATTAATGCACAGCCTCCCTAACCTTATTACTCAATCGTTAGTAGAGTCCTTGCGACTCACTCACCACTGAGCTCGGACCCAAGGCATAGTGAGCCAGGACTGCACACCCAGCTGTGGCAGCTGGATGGGCAGAGCCTGGGAGGACAGTGGCTGGGGAGGGCCTGCCTTTCTTGGTGTTGGACCAAACCGAGAGGAAATGGCAGGTGGTCTCTCTGTCTATAGCCCCGCTGGCCTGGCCAATCAGCAGAGAGCTCTTATCAGGCCTGTTCTGAGAACTCAGGCAGGTTCTGGAAGACAAACCCTCTTCTGTGCTCTTGCCCCATGGAGTCTTTGTTCCAGGGACACGGCTCAGCCTGAAACACATTTGCACCTGCGCCTCGGCAGCTTCGGCCACTCAGAGACTTTTGCTCTTTTCACATTGTCTGGGCCACTCAGCCCCCAGCGTGTCCGTCCCCAGCAGCCTAAAGGAGTGTGACCGCTTATCTGAAGCCGCACTCTCCAGCCCCAGAGAGGCAGTACCAGGCTGGGCCAGGCCAGGCCGGGTCCCCAAAAGTTTGCGTGAAGAGGCACAGGCCCCTGGCTTCCCGGCTTCTCACCTGGGCTTTGTCTGGTCTCTCTCAGGTCTGGCCAGACCTGGGGACATTTCGGGTAGGGTAATGTGAGTGGTGAGACCTGGCCCTGTCCCTGTGCTGCTAAGGAGGAAGGCGGCAAGTCATTCTCTAAGAGGCACAGGAGAGGCCGGGCCCGTCCTTAGCGCTGGGCTTCCCCTGGCACGGCTCTGGGAGGTCCGGGCCACTCCTCAGCTCACCCAGCAGGTGCGTGCACACACCTGTCTCCGGCCATGGCGTCCCACCTAGAGACTGTCGGGGAGAAAAGGCAGAGCTGCCACCAGCGGCCACAGTGGGGCCTCTCTGGAAATGGGTCTCTAAAACCCAGACGGAATGGGCATTTCGGGCAGTTTTCTCTCATGAGCAAGAGATACAACCAGCTCCATTTGTTTTAGAACCGATGAAGAAGGGGCCATAGGATCATAAAATATAAGAACTACTGGGGCCTCTCTGAGCCCTTATCATGTCCCCCTCACAGAGCCTCTTGGTGGCAGAGCTGAGGACTAGTCCTGGACTTACAACTTTCACAGTGCTGAGCTCAGAGAGGTCAAGTAACCTAGCCAAGATCACACAGCTAGGGAGTGGCTCAGCCAACGCCCAAACCCAGGTCTGTCTCAGCCGCTCTGGGGTACTGCATGTGTCCCTGGAAGGCTGGAGAGGACTGGTGGAGAGTCACTCAGTGACTGCCTGCTCCAGCCCAGCTGCCGGGGACCTGTCCCCCACTGCCACCTCATAGCACCCGGTTCCAAGCAGCCCCTGAGAAGCCGCTCTGGACACGGAGCTGGTGAGCCTGTTGCCAGGTCACTGGCGGCCGTGGTAATACGGAGCAGCATCACGGCAAACCCACCGCCGTCCTGGCACACCCACCCCGGCCTAGCAGGCTCCTAACAGAAAACACAGCACGTGCCTGGCTCCGATCACGGGCTGAAGCTGCAGGTGAATCTCGTTTTAATCGACCTGGACACACCCTCTTAGCATGTCTCCTAAAGGCCCAGTATCCTTAAATATCAGCTCTAAATAAATGAAATTCAGCAGATGGGCTCCTCCTGGGGCTGCGCTAGGTGGCTTCCCTGAAAGTGGATGCAGGGGAAACCAACCCCTCTCGGCGTGTAGTCCCAGCTGGGAGGGCGGGACACCCTGTGCAAGAGTGTTGTCCTAGAGGGATTTCCTCCGGTTTTACCCCGCCCTGTGAGGTGGGGAATGTGTGCGAGGCTGTGGTTCCCAACACAGAGAACGGGATGACCCCATGCCATCCATTCC